TGGGCCAGGACTTCTCAACTCAGCTTTAGTAAATGTTAATGTTAAAGCGTTATATGTCTCTGGGAAATTTTAGAAATTTTCAAATAGTTCAGTAATGCTGCTTACTCAAAACTCTTTGCCCGCCTTGAGCAAATAGTGTAATTGGTGAAGCGCTGTTGTCGTGTGCTCATCTTAGGGCCTGTTCCTAGTGTTCCTCTCGGAGAAATTCCCCAACAGGTGAACTGCCGACCTCACAGCTTTCACCTCCCTGCTTCGCAACTGTCTGCAGTGAGGAAACTGCTGTAGGCACAGGCCTCATTAGCTAATGGGGTGAGCACACCGCTCTGCTGTAATCCACTCATGTCAAAGCAGTGGCCAGCCTGGCGTCAGCACAGCACAGCTTCCCTGTCGGGACTGTCCCCTAACTCTCCTTTCACAGAGAGCATTGTGCACGCAAAAGTCAGAGGCAGCCGAGGGAAAACAGCTTCCTCCTTCCGGTATTTCGAAGCCTGCCTCGTTTGTCTTGACTTCTTTTGGGCCCTGGCTCTTTCCTGGTTTTGTCTCCATTTTCCTTTTCTTCACATCCATGAAGGCTGATGGTTTGGGGCTGGAACTCTTCCCTCCCCTCCTTCGGATTTTCCTGTGCAGGAGAAGGCTTCCTGCCCATCATTCTGCAGTGACCCCCTGCCCATTTCCCATGCTGCACTGCTGCCTCCCTGCTTCAGAAAGAGAGGCTGTTCAGGGGTGTCATTTGGAAAGATCCCAATGGGCCAGCAATGCTGTGCTACTCTAAAATGAGATTATTCACAGGCTGTGGCCACTGCTTTCAGCGGTACCCCTGAAACAGTAGTGAAATGTCCAAACAGCAATTGTTCCTGAGGGCCTGGGCCTCACACCTGAGCCCTGAGCCTGGGAGGAATGGGATATTGCTGTTAATAGCAACGGCTTTCTTGTCTGGCGGCAAACTTTCCTAAACGTCATGCAAAAGAAATTAGTAGATTATATTGAGCTATAAAGAAAAATTAAATTAGGAACTTTGTAGGTAAATGGATGGAACAAGAAAAGAGCGTATTGAGTGAGGTAACCCAGACCCAGAAAGACAACACTACATGTTCTTCCCCACCTGAGGCTCCTAGCTTCAGATCTTCAGATGTGAGTACATGTCCTAGAGAAACTGCAGGAACCAGGAAAGTAACAGAGGACCATTGTTGGGGCAGTGGGACTGGGGAGCAATAGAGAGGAGGCCAGCAGGGAACGAGTGACCTGATCAGAGACATGGGACAAAGGGAAGCTCTAATTAGGGAGGGGGAGTGGGACAAATACAGGAGGAGGGAAGAGGGTAAGATAACACTAAGGATGTCTGAAGAAGTCAGTAAGGAATCTAGCAGGGCGGTGGTGGCACACTCCTTTAATCCCAGCACTCAGGAGGCAGAGCCAGGTGGATCTTAGCGAGTTCGAGGCCAGCCTGGGCTACAGAGCGAGATCCAGGACAAGCACCAAAACTACACAGAGAAACCCTGTCTCAGAAAAAAAAAGTCATAAAGAATCATACTAGTAACTATCTTTAAAAAGCCTATAATACACGGAATTCTATGTATAAATATACATATGTAGTTTAAATGAACTTTTCTCATGTGGTCTGCTAATGCTCACTCTAAGAGCCATAGACCATCTAACAAAAACCCCAACACCATGCATGAGAAGCCTTCTTTTGAGGTATTTGAGTCGGGGTTATTCAAGAGACTCCCCCAAATTACAAGATATTGCTGTTGCCCTTGGTTGAACCCAGAAGTCTCTATAGCTGAAGACCATGGACTTCAGACTCAGAAGCCCTTAGACTGGAACTGACTTGAAGTCTCCTCCCTGAGGACTAGCTTTCATGGTACCAGAGATGCCATGCAAGCTTCCAAGTGACAGAAGCAACCAACAGTCCTACTCAGCTATGGTGCCTAGGAACCACGTCAAAGACCAGCACAGCACAACAACCTAAGGGTGCAGTAGTGGCACGCACACCTTGGGGGTAACCAACAGCTCCCGGATTGACTTAAGGCCTGCTCAACGAGAGGGAAACCATGTGTGGCACTGAAAACCTACCCAGTCACCTGGGGCTAGTGAAGTCGTGGATCTTGGAGAGAACCTACAACCACCACTTTACTAAACCAGCGCAATCCCTAACAACAATCTATAAACATTTGTCCTTAAATCCATAAATGACTGTAGTCCTCACCTCTCATCAGGGAAACTTCTCTTCGCAACAGAACAAGAGCGACCGCTATAGAAAGCCACAGACAACCAAAAGGTAGAGTTGTGGAGCCCCGTCTTAATCGATAACACCGGTGAAACACTCCTGTACCTAAGGCTCAGGGAACATGTGGAAAGAGGGGACAGAAGGATTGAGAGAGTCAGAAGATGAGGGGGATTGCTGTGAGTTTGTGTCCCCTAGTAATGTCAGAAGCTACACCCACACATTCTTACCAGCGTGACAGCCTAAACATGAGCTGAACAAGGACAACAGTAGGCAGGCTAAGACATACACAAAGAACTACAGGCAAGTAAAGAATGCTAAGAGTGGCAGAGATCAGTCTTCCCCAGGAGAGAGCACGCCAATTGGTTATCCAGTACCCAATGTCAGCCCTGCAAACACACACACAAGTAACACTATACAGAGTGAGCGGGTCACTTTTCTGTATTTAGGAACATATATGTCTGTACACATACGTATATGTATATAACAACAATTAATGAAAAGGAGGTCATGAATTGGAAAGAGAGCAAAGAGGGTTATGGGAAGGTTTGGGGGGATGAAAAGGAAGGAGGAAATGACGTAATTAAATTATAACTTCAAAAAGTAAAGGAAATAATTAAAAGGCGAATAAAGTTAATTTAAGGAAAGAAATTAGTAGATTAAATTAAAGCCTGTTAAAACACAGACAGATTGCTTCCATCTCAAATTACTCTTTCATTGCCCATAGCCATGTCCTTCTGGCGTGTTTGATTTTCAGGGCACCCTGAAACTTTCTCTGTGGAGGTAGGGAAGACGCCAGGGAAAGGGTCACACTGAGCCGCAAGAGGCTCAAGCTCTCTGTGCATCCGTTCCCAGGGGGTCCTGCGCCACCAAGGAGATTTCTCTCCTGTAACTGTGAGTTTAGAGAGAGGACTCTAAGAACTGGAGTTCCTATGTGGCAGTGCTGCTTGGGTGCTGGAAATTGAGCCTCGTCTGCAAGAGCAACAAACGTCCTAAACCACGGAGACATCTCTAGCTGGGTCTGAATTTGTAGGAAAGTTTGTTTTTTCTTTCTCCTGCTAGCTTTCATTGATTTTTAAATTTGATTTGCTTTTTTACTATTTTCCTGGACATCTAACACAAGGCTCATGCCATGCCAGGTAAGTGCTGTGGCTGCCCCCTGCTTTGGTTATTGTTTTCTACAAGGACCAGTTTTCTTTTGGATCCTGGCTATAATCTTTAAGTACCTTTCCTAGAAGACCATGTGTTTCTTGAGAGTGAATTTCCCAAAAGTTGCCACGGTCTTGCGATAGGGAAAACTGTATTCTGACTTTGCCAGTTGGGAGGTGAGAAACCCCAGACAAGTTGTTGAACCTCTCAGATCTTTATATGTACACCTGACAAACTTACGTACTGGGACTTCAGACATAGTCCAGTCATTAAAGCGCTTGCTGCTTAAGTATGTGAGCCCGGGTTTGATCCCCAGCACCCACATCAAAGCAAGGCATGGCGGGACACATTTGTGTCTTTAGCACTTGAGAGGAAGAAACAGAAGGACCCATGGCTGGCTAGCCTAGCCGAATTAACAAGTTCAAGGTTCATTGAGAGATTCTGTCTAAAAAATTAATAGAGTGGACATGACCAGATAGTAAGACCCTATTGTTAAAGCCACATTTTGGTCCCTGGACATAAGAACTCAACCTGGAACTTCCCTGAAAACTTTTTGTCTGCTGTCCAGCTTCCACGGTGCCAGAAGGTGTTATACAGTCTGCTGGGGGAGAAAAGTTATCAATGTCTTACCCACAGTGGACCCTACACACCACAGTACTAACCCACCAGGCAATAGATGCCACTGGGGCAATAATGGCATTACTATTATAGGAGTAACCAACCACTTTCTGCTTAGATTTGAGGCCTGCTCTACAGGATGAAATTCATGCCCTGAACTTAGTGAAAAGCCCATGGCTGGGATGGTCCTAGCCCCAAGGGTGGGGGAAATCTACTGTTGTTGTGTTATCATGATCATAGCACTAAGCTATTTTCTAAATGTTTGTGTTTATAGACGTAGATGAGTGCGGCTCTCAATTTACGTCAGAGGAGCTTCCTTTTGTAGTAGCCCAGTTAGTTCAGAGACTCAGAACTGGTCAGAGTGCTAAAAATAAATGACTATGAGTCCTCACGCCTAAATAAGATATTTATATCGACCTTCCCTCCTCCAAAGGTTTAGAGGACATCAAAGAAGAGGGTTCAGAGAGGACAGATGAGCTGTCAAGTGGGGAGGGTGCTGTGCAGGGCTGTCTTCTGGATATGACATGACATGCTCATGAACTCACTGCAGCTGTGGTTATCTAAAGAAGACCAACCAGTCAAAATCCAACCATGGGTGGCAGGGCTGGCGGGGGGGTGGGGGGGTGGGATTTCACAGGGCTCCTCTCCTAGCCGAGGAGCTATTGGCAGCTGACTGCACTGTGGGAGGAGGAGGCACTTTTCTTTTGGACTGTGGCCATTAGTAGGTTGCTCGTGCTCCTGTGGATGGCCCCACACCCAAGAGCATATGAACTGTACAAATTCAACACTGGGTTACAGAAAGAAAAAAAAAAAAAGAGGACATAAATTTGGAACATAAAGTTGGGGGAGGGTTAAGGGAAGGCGGAGGAGGAATTGGTGGTGAATATGATCAATACTTTGTATACACATGAAATTCTTAAAGAATAACTACAAAATGTTAAATTAAAAGTGGTGGTGGTGGAGGTGGTGGTGGTGGAGGTGGTGGTGGTGGTGGTGGTGATGTGGAGAGAAATTAAGGAAGTTACTCGATGTCAACTTCTGGCTTCCAATGTCCCGGGAGTTCACACCAGAGACCGAATGCCAGCGTCTTCAGCTGCTTGGCTTCCTGAAACCAGAACTGCTAGGCAGTGAGTTCACCCACCTTGAATTCCCCCGAAGAGTTCAGTCCAAGGAGCTGGGGCAGAGGAGGCTGTACAGGGACCAGAATATGACTGGCTGGGCCTACAAAAAGATTGAGCTGGAGGATCTCAGGTTTCCTCTGGTCTGTGGGGAGGGAAAAAAGGCCCGGGTAATGGCCACCATTGGGGTGACCCGAGGCTTGGGAGACCACAACCTTAAGGTCTGTAGTTCCACTCTGCCCATCAAGCCTTTCCTCTCCTGCTTCCCCGAGGTACGAGTGTATGACCTGACACAGTATGAGCATTGTCCAGATGATGTGCTAGTCCTGGGAACAGATGGCTTGTGGGATGTGACCAGTGATTGTGAGGTAGCCGCCACTGTGGACAAGGTGCTGTCAGCCCATGAGCCCAATGATCCCAGCAGGTATACAGCTCTGGCCCAAGCTCTGGTCCTGGGGGCCCGGGGCATCCCCCAGGACCGTGGCTGGTGTCTCCCCAACAACAAGCTGGGTTCCAGGGATGACATCTTGGTCTTCGTCACCCCCCTGGGAGGGCCAGGCAGTTACTCCTGATGAGCCCAGCCCCATCCCTCTCACTGCCATCTAAGCCTCTCCATACTTACCCTTCTCCCGGTCCAAATAGTGAAGTTGTGTTCCTGATTCTTGAGTGGCCATTTAATTGACAAAGGGATGCCCACTAGATCCAGAATTGCAGCAACTGACAAATAAAACAGATGGATTAAAAAAACAACAACAACACAAACAGTTACATATGCCACACACGTATGCACAAATGTATGTGTAGAGGAAGACTTAAAAGTAAAAAGAAGGTGCTGAGACTGTATCTCAGTTGGTAGAGTGTTTGCTTATCCTGTACTAATGCCTGAAATCTATCTGCAGTATTGCATCCATTGGGTGTGATGGTGTATCCCTGTGATCTCAGTACTTAGGAGGCAGTGGCAGAAGAACCAGCAGCTCCAGGTCATCCTCTGATCACAGTGTACTTGAGAACAGCCTGGGCTGTCTGAGATCTGATCTAAAAGATAATAAGGGCTGGGAAGATGGTTCAGTGGGCAAAGGCACTTGCTGCCATGCCATGTCACCTGGGTTTGATCCCCAGAATCGCGTGACAGAAGGAAAGAACTGATTCTCAGAAGCTGTCCTCTGATTCCACATGAGCACTGGCAGTGTGGCACACAAATGCCCACATGCACAATAAGTAAAATTAAAAATAATAAAATTAGGGTGGAGAGATGGCTCAGTGGATAGGAGCACTCCCTGTGAAAGCCAGAGAACTTGAGTTCAAATCCCCAACACCCACACAAAAAAGGCCATGGTCATGGGTGCTTGTAACCCCAGCATTGGGGGACAGAGACAGGAGAGTCCCTGAGGCTTGCTAGTCAAACAGTCTAGTTCAAATGCAGAGCTTCAAGTTCAGTCAGATACCTTGTTTCAAAAAATGAGGCAGTGGCTGGGCATGATGGTACCATGTACTCTGGAGGCAGAGGCAGGTGGATCTCTATGAGTTCAAGGTCAGCCTGATCTATACAGGGAGTTCCGGGATAGCCAGGGTTTTGTAGAGAGACCTTGTCTAGAAAGCAATAAAACAAAATAAGTTGGAGAACAATGGAAGAAGATGCCTTATATATACTTCTGGCCTCTGTACATGTTCCAGTAGGTGTGTGGTAGCACACTCACACACAATTTAATAATAATAATAAGAAGAAGGAGAACTAAAATAGAAAAAAAATTACCCCTCTAGCTCACATGGTAAATGTAAGCTTTAAATTTGATAATATATGTAAACTACTATATTATCTGAGATAACATACATAAAACCATATACAACTATTGCTTCATAAAACAGGCTCAAAATTAAAAAAAAATACTGAAAGTGACATTTAAAACTGTCAATTTTTTTCCCTGCAAACCATCTTGAGAGGCCTTCCAGAGCCCTTCCCCTTTCCCTTAAGCTGCCTTATCTGATGGAGCTTCTGAATTCCTCCTACCTCTTTCCTCATGACTCAGGTTCTTGTTTTGAACCTGAGTGACTGCACTGTCCATGAACCCAGGATGACCTAATTCGGGGCTTTCCTGACATCTAGCCTCTTGTCCCTCTGCCCACTAGCATGCCCACAACCTCTGGTCACATGCCCATAATAGCACTTAACACATCGAAGCAAAGATATTTATCAAGCTCCTTTACCTGGGCCCCTTGGCCTGGCAGGACCAGGTTCCCGAGTATCTGCTGCAGAGTGACACTGTCTGGGTCCTACATGATGGCTGTGTAACCAGCACTTGGCATTTTATGCTTATTCATTCAGACAGACACGGGCATGTGTCCCCAGCTGAGTGCTAAAAGTGCTGATCTATTTTAGCTTTCCAAGACAGCCAAGGACAGAAACTGCATTCCTCTTTAGACCCGAGGATGAGTTTTAGTTACTGCAAGGTCAGGAAAGTATCCCCTTCCTGATGTACTTTCAGCCCATTCTCTTTTCTTTTGGCCATTGATGGGACTGTTCAGTTTGCTTTGACAGCAGGGTCGTTGAGGCCAGGCAGCCTGTGTACAAGTTTATCTACAACTTAGTTGTACTGTGTGTGTGTGTGTATGTGTGTTTGCAGATGTGTGTGCACAAACATGTGGAGGCCAGATGTTGACACACGGTGTCTTCCTAAATCACTCTCCACTTTATTTTTTGAGACAGATTCTCTTACTGAACTTGGAGCTTGCCGATTCTAGTAGACTAGCTGTCCATCAAGCCCCAGGCTCCCCTTTTCACCCCCTCAGCTCTGGGATTCCAGGTACATCACTGCACCAGGCTTTTTTTTTTTTAATTGCTTAATGTGCATTTTGGGGGATCAAATTTGGGTCTAGCTGCTCAGAGTTTGTTCATTTCTTTTGTTTGTTTTTGTTTCTGTTTTTTAAAGACAGGGTCTATGTAGCTTTGGCTGGCCTGGAACTCCCTATGTAGATCAGGCTGGCCTCAACTCACAGAGATCCACCTTCCTTTTCTTCCTGAGTGCTGTGATTAAAGTCATGCACCACCATAGCCAGGCCTCCTCAGTATTTTAACACCGGGAAAGTCATTTCAAGTACTTCTGCCACATGAGTCTTGTGTCTGTGCTGGGATAATTCTCCACCTGATGGAATGTTCTAGTTCATCTCTATTGCTATTATAAAAAAAAATTCTTGACAAGAAACCACATAAAGGAGGAAAGGTTGCCTTGGTCATTGTTCTATTGCTGTGAAGAGACATGACGACCACAGCAACTCTTATAAAAGAAAGTATTTAATTGGGAGCCTGCTTACTTTCAGAGGGTGAGTCCACGATCATCATATCAGGGAGCACATGATCATCATGGTGGGGAGCATGGTTACACACAGGCTGGGGTGGTGCTGGAGAAGTAGCTGAGAGCTAGATCCTGATGCACTGGCAGCAGGCAGAGAGAGAGAGAGAGAGAGAGAGAGAGAGAGAGAGAGAGAGAGAGAGAGAGAGAGAGAGAGAGAATGAGAGAGAGAGAGAGAGCAGGCCTAGCTAGGCCTTTGAACACAAAGCCACAGTTCCTAAACCTTCCCAGACAGCTTACCAACTGGAGACCAAGCATACAAATATGGGAGCCTATGGAGGCCCTCCTCACTCAAACCAACCCAGAGGGCTTATATGGCTCAAAATAATGCCTCCATTATTTTGGAGGTGTTAAGGCAGGAACTTAAACCCCCAGTCACATCACATCCATAGTCAACAGCAAAGCTAGAATAAATGCATCTTTTCTTGCTTGCTCTCAGCTGTCTTTATCATTTTTATATGGTTCAGGACCTCTGTCTATGGAATGGTACTACACACAATGGGTTGGGCCTTCCAACATCAATTATCAATCAAGACAATCTCCCCATAGACATGCCCATGGGCTAACCTGATCTAGACAATTCGTCATTAAGACTCTCTTCCCAGGTGATTCTAGGTTGTGTCAAGTTGACAGTTAAAACTCAGCAGCACACTGGGCTGTATGTGTGTGGAAATGGCAGTAAGGGCATCTCTGGGACTCCTCTTAGGAAGAATGCTGGTATCCTCGCTTTGATCTCACAGGGATGGGTGGCGGTGACACACACCTTTAATCCCAGAACTCAGGAAGCAGAGTCAAGTGGATCACTGTGAGTTCGAGGCCAGCCTGGTCTACAGGGCGAGATCCAGGACAGGTACCAAAACAACACAGAGAAACCCTGTCTCGAAAAAGCCAAAAGGGGGGGGGGAAATCTGCTTGATCTCACAGGGAGTGCCTTCCTGAATAATACTTTTGGTTGCTATTGACCTAACCCCAAAGAGCATGCCTGAGTGACATATGAACTTTTTTCTTGCAGAGTATAGAAGTGTGTAGCTGCTCCATGTGGTAGAGACTGGCAGTTCATATTTATGTCTTGAATGTGGGCACCAAGATGGAGGTGCTATTTTGGGGGAGTTATGAAAACTCTAGGATGTGGTCCCTAGCTGGCAGATATTTGCCACAAGGTGAAGTGTAGTTGGTTATTTTTTACTCTTTGGTCTTTTGGGGGCCGGCCACCCTGCTCCCAAATAATCACACAGAGTTTTATTCTTTCTTATGAATGCCTGGCCTTAGCTTGGCTTGTTTCTAGCCAGCTTTTCTTAATTTAAATGATCCCATCTACCTTTTGCCTCTGGACTTTTATCTTTCTTTCTTTAGTTCTTACTCCATGGCTTGCTGTGTAGCTGGGTGGCTGTTCCCTGACATCCTCCTCTCCTTCTCTTGCTCCCCGATCTCTCCTTCCCAGATTTCTCCTCCTATTTATTCTCTCTGCCTGCCAGCCCTGCCTGTTTCTCTCTCCTGCCTTGTTATTGGCCACTCATTATTAGGCCAATCAGGCATTTTAGACAGGCAAAGTAACACAGCTTTACAGAGTTAAACAAATGCAACATAAAAAATGCAACACATCTTTGCATCATTAAACAAATATTCCACAGCATAAACGAATGTAACAAATCTTCAACTAATATTCCACAACAGGGAAGGCTTTTGAAGGTTATACTTAGCCCCTGGATGTTACCTTGCTCTCTGCTTCCTGATGTACAGATATGTGGAGAGCTTCTGCCACAGGCTTCCTCTGCTATGAACTAGGCTGCACCACCACGCCTTCTCTGCCAAGGTCAACTAAAACTCATGAAACTGTGATCCCAAATCAGCCTTCTATCACGCATTTGGTCACAGCGTGCAAAAGGGTCTAATATTATTCCCTTTCCAGTGGTCATCCTCTCTTCAACTTTCATCCTTGTGGTCAGGACCCAGAACTCTAGAACTGAAAAATGCCTTTATTACTATTATGGTATGAGCATGCAACTCAACCCTACTCAGCCCCAGCTGATGAATTTATATGTACAACTTTTACAATGTTTCTGGGGAAAGTTGTTCTTTCTGATGTTGGGAGGGAGAATAAGGAGACATGTTCCTTTTCCTACCATTAGATGTAGGTATATGTGGATGTAATTCTCACAGCTATGGCAATCTTCTTGTGACTATGAGGGACAGCTCTAAGGATAAGAACCAACTGGCTGGAGATGTACCGATTATTATTTTTTTGTCAACTTGACACAAGAAACAGTCATCTGGGAAGAAGGAATCTCAACTGAGGAATCAACTCCATCATTTGGCCCATAGGCAAGTCTGAGGCATTTTCTTAAGATTGATGTAGTAGACGTA